GCTGTTTTTCAAGCAGTTCCTTTGGCCCAGGGTGAGACTGGTGACCACCCTGTGCCTACGGAGCAGCAGCTTCTCACCTTTTGCAAATGCTGCCTCTTCTCGATGAGCTCACTGGTCGCTTCTCAAAGGCCTTCCTTGCCTTGGGAAAGAGCAGAACTTCCGAGCTTACAGCCCCCCGGGGTCCTGGATCCCTGGAACACGAAACTCCAGGGAGTTGCCAGTGCCAGCAGTCACTGCTAGACAGTGAAGCCAAGCCTGGGCTCGGCTGTTTGGCCACGAGGCTGGAGCAGCCGCGTGGGTGCGGAGCGGCTCCCAAGGACAGCGCTCGAGCGGGGAGGGTCAGCTCGACCTCGGCCAGCTCGGACTGAGTGCTCGGGAACAGGGGCCAGGAGCAGGGAGGGCCAGCAAGCCCAAACGCCCCCTCTCCGAGCTCGCCTTCTCGCTCGGGATGCTCCGCTGCTGCCCGCTGCCGGACCGATGCCAACAGGAGAGCGGGAGAGCGGCTCTGTTGAGACTCTCCGTCGGAAGCAGAAGGGACAAGGACCCCTCCAAGATTATCTGGGCTTGGCTGTTTGCAGCCCTGGCAGCCCTGCAGTTACGGGAAGGGCAGAGCACCCGCAGCCCTCGCCGGCCTGCCCGGGTCAGACGGGCCGCGGGCGCTGTGTCCTTCCCAGCTCCCCATCCCTTGGGTCGCCGCTCGGTGCCTCTTCCTGGCCCGAGAGCCACACGGTTCAAAGGACAACAGGCCAAATAATTTCCTGCCCTCGTCCGCAGTGTCTTCCTTTGGTTCCCTCGAAAGCCGTGTTTCAAAAGCCTTAACGCTGCTGACGACATCAGCTTTCCAAACATCCTCCTGTCCCCTGCACGCTGGGTGTGCAACTGCCAGCGTCTGCGCTCAGCGCAGGCCCCTCGTGCTGCTCGTGGTGGGAGCTGCTCCGTGGCCGTAACCGCTCTGCTGCACAAGGACAAGGGCTGGAGCTCAGAGCTGCAAGGGGGAGCCTGGCAGGGAGCCCCCAGGGAGGGTTTTGCAGCTCTTCTCCAGCAGCCAGATCCCGATGCAGGCCCCTGTATCAGAGCTGGACTGCAGAGCGCTCCTCCTGCTGCACCTCTCGCCGTGAACCACCTCCTCTTCCCTCTCCCTGAAACGTCTCCTTTCCTCTGACACACCTGGGAGAGGGTTTGGCACGACAAGTTGCTGCATTGCTGCTGGCTGCAATTGCATCCTCCTGGCCCCGTCGCCTCCGCTCGCAGCAGAGCTGCCCTCAAAACTCCTCTGGAGAAACCATCCTGGAGCTGCCCTTGCCCAGCGCCGCCGGCGCTGCCCGCTGTGCCACATAACACGAGCGACGGCCACCGTCACATCCGCCTTTCTGGCCCCGGAGAGATAAAGCCCCCAAACGGCCCTATTTCACCACCCCTCTGATCCCGGGAAAGGGGAAGCTGCTCTCTGCAGCCTTTTATGTATTTTGATTTCTTGCCACATCATTATAGGATAATGCTAAGTGTGTGTTAACAGAAGAGCTGCCAAAGAGCTTTGAAAGGCCTGATTGTCCCTCGGCAAGGGAAATCCTCCCCCTTCCTGCCCTGGGCGCTTATCGCTCCAGCTTTGCCCCCGTTCTTGCTGGCCAGAAGAGCAGTTGCCCTTTTGGTGTTGTTTTTTCTTTTGCTTATTTGTATTTATGACATTTCTGCTGAAAAGGGAACAAGAAAATTGGCAAAACACATGGAAAGAAGTGGCTCCGTGTAGCAATATTATGAGACAAGGCAGGCCAAAGAGATTTAACTATTTTTAGCAGATGTTAGCCATAAGAGAATTGTTATTATTCATTTACATGTGCGAGTGCCTTTTGATGATGAATTGATGGGAACATTCCAGCATTGCTTTTATACTGACATCCTCATAGCCAGATCTAACATGCGTCCAGGTAAAGGACACCAAACTGCTTTAGAATGGAGTCTGGCAACGTTTCTCCAAGTTATCCCCAAACAGTACACTCGTCTCTATAATTTCCCAAAGCCTTGGCTTTCTCCGTTGTTTTTAGAATGAAGAATTTGAAAAGTTTTTCGTATTTTGTCTTGAAGTGAAGCTTTCCCACCATCACTGGAGAAGCTTCATGTTTCAACGAGATGAAAATGAGTATCAGAGGGAATGACCGACCATGTTCCATACGGTGGCAACATCCACACAGAGGGTTAAAGCAGCTCAGGAAAGATTGTTTTGATCCTTGAATATTTTGCAGTTGAGTAATGATTTAGGAACATAGTTTATTTATGTGACCTCTTTGATACGCCACAGATAAGGAAATCTCAGGAATTTGTGTTTTATGTCAGTCTGGATCTACAGGCTAACACACATCGGCAGCGCGTGCCGAGTTCCCTCACCGAGCGATACCGCACACTTCGCTTTCTGAAAGGAGGATCCTCTGCACAGACTGGTGCTGGGGACACGGCCTGTGGTCACTCTTCTCATGCAAAGGCTTGGAGGCCGTTGCCGTTGGAGGCTCAGAGCCGCAGCGCCCGCGCGCCCCGACGCGCTCGCTCCGTCCTGCCGGCAGCAGCAGAGCCACAATCACCTGCAGCCCAACGCAGCCGCCTTCGGGGTGGTAAGGGCTCAAATCGCGGTCTCCTTGCCACATTTTTAGCCTCTCTGTCCTCTTCTAGCTGCAAAATCCACTAATTCCAACAACGCACATCTGTGTCATAAGCAAGTCCAGCTGGCAAAGGCGACCCAGGCCGGGCTTTGCAGCCTCTCTGCTCCAAACGAAAGGAGCTGTTAGTCGGCCAGACCGAAGTGCTGTGGGCTGAGCCCTTTCTAATTTTTTTGAACTTTTTTTTTTTTTTTAAAAAAAAGATCTCCTATGTCTCTTTTAATTCTTTTGAACTACAAAACCTTTTATTTTCCTCTGTGGCTTTTAGAAAAAGCCTAACTGTTCCCAACTGCGGTTCCGCCATCGCAACTTTGAATGTACTTGGTGGCTGCAAAGGGACTGAAAGGGGGCACAAGTGCTTGCTGTGAAGAGATTAGAAAATATTTGTCTCTTTCTGCAGATTAGGAAGGACGAGGGCCTCGCTGCCTCACAGCCGATGAGTAAGTGGCTCTGACGCAAAATGTTTCCTCCTTGGCTAACAAAATCCATCCCGTAACATTTCCCCTGTGCTGCTCAGATGTGCTGTGAGCTGGGCAGCTGCTCTTCACTCCACCAGGCCGGCTGCATTGCTCATTTTTCTTGTGAAAATCATTTTTAATCCAGACTAGTGTCGCAATCCAGCTCATGCCGCAGCCCTAACAGCTGCAATTAGAGGGCAGCAAGGAGAAACGGTTGCAGAAAGAGGAGGTGACAGAGCGATGCCATCACGGACAGAAGTGCCCCCAGAGATGTCTCTGCAAGGGGCGAGGGTTTTGCAATTTGCTTTTTCTGAAGGTGCTGGTGGCAGCGCGATGCCTTGTTCCCCTTTGCCCTGGCCTGGCTGCACCTTCCTGCCCCCTTCCTGCTGCAAAACCCATGGATCAGGGAAGGGCAGATTCCCATCCACACCCGGCACTCGCTGTCGGTAAATGCGTTAGTGCTGGGGCAGGAAGGGGCTCGTTCCTACTCCTTGCAAATGCTCCTTGCTCTAATTAGGCAAAGAGCTGAAGGAAAAACAAACTTCATGAAGCACCGGGAGACCTCGGCCCTTTTACCATTGATTCAGGAAAGTCTTTAGTTTCTTTGACAGCCCAGCTGGAGGAAACCAAACCCAACATTCCTCATATTTCTAAGCAGTTGCTGGAGTGGAAATGGTTCTGTTGTGATATGAAACTATAAATCCCACATGTGATGTTTGGAAATGGGGACATCTGTGTTTGGTATTTGGAGAAATACCAAGGCGAGACTTTGTTAGAGCCTCTTGGATCGTGTTTATCCCTTATAGGGAAGCAAAAAGGGAAATAGCTTCTTGTTTCTTAGAAAGTCTACCAAGAACAGCAGACCTACCATATAATTTCTGTAAGATGTGTGAGCCTGGTATGGTTTTCTGTACTAAAAGAGTTTAATGATCCCTTTGTCTTAACCTGTTTTCATTTTCCCTCAGGGCTGAGGAGAAAATTCTTCAAATGAATGGAGAGGAAGGAAACCACGCAGGGAGGCTGTCCCCTCATTGCTGATGGACATTAGCAGAGCAGTTTGCTCCCCACATTCACGTGTGAGAGCACCATTGGCTTTGTGCTGCATCCTGATGAATTCTGCAGATTTTCACCCGTGCGAAAGCCTCCCTGTAGTTTGCTGGGAGGGTTATTGTGGCTGAGGACAGACCAGGAGACTCAAAGTTCGCAGTCTTTCTGGTTGGGGCGCTGCCTCTGAAGCCTCTCTGTGTTTGGCCGTCGTTCTGCACCACTCATCCCCCAGCAAAGCAGAAAGTACAAAACATTCCCAGCTTTTGAGCTTTATCCCTCCCTGCTTTCCAGTTGCAGCAGCGCTTTCATTCCAGGGCTTCCTTCGCTGCTGGCCCTGTGCAGCGGCACCGGGTCTCGCTGGGTGCCCAGGCGCGCGGCGCGGGTCCCGGCGCGCGCGGCGTTCGCTGCGGCCGGCGTTCCCACACCAAACACGTGTGCGGAGCAGCCCGAGCGGGGCCACGGCTCCTGGCAGCATCGGAAAGAGGCGCCTTGGAGCTCACCAGGAGCGGCGTTAACCAGCGAGCGCAGCGGGAGTGGATTGCTGTTGAAATTAGTTCCCCCACGCAGATGCTAGTTCCCCTCTCTTATCTCTCATGTTAGCTCTCTACAGGCTTCCCCGTTTCCTCATAACATATTCCTGGAAAAGAGAGGGTGGGAACAGAAATACTACTTAAGGGCACTCTGTCACTTCCCATTGCTGCTGTGTGCAGGGGAGCAGCGACCGAGAGCCCTCCTGATTTTCTGCACCACATACGGATCTTTCTTGTTGGATTAGAGCAAACCCTTGCTGTTAGTGACTGCCACATCAGCAAACACTGAAGAGCTTCTGCTCCGGAAATCAGGGTGTGGAAGAGGCAATATGCTGGATCAGATCCATCTGCTGGCTGCTGTGACGGTCCTGGGCGTCCTGGAGCAAGGTAGGGACCATCCTCTGGGCAGGTCCTAGCACGGGCCGCTCCAGCTACCATCTGCCTGCTGATTGCCTTGCACCTCCGCGCTCCCCTTCTGCTGCTGCCCTGCTTTTCAGGTAATTAGCCTGTTTTGTGAAATTCAACAAAATGAGTCTTTGGGACACCAGCCCTATAGATGTCCTCCCCCGGCTCTAGCATCCTAGCATACTTTAAAAAAAAAAAAGGTTTTTTTTTTAAGATTTTTAAAAGCTAAAACTGGCAGCAACAAAGTGCATCTGAACCGTTCAATAATTTCTATTGATAACAGCTGCTCTGTTAACTATGTGAGCAAGAAATCAGGTATCTGCTGGTTGTACAAGACTGCACTGTCCTTGTTTGACCGTCATTGGGTCCTTCCCTTTCTGCATCTGAGACGTTTCTGGGACATTTCCCCGGCTTTTGCTGCTGATGGGTGCTCAGTTAAGAGGGGGCTGCACTACCAACATCTGTCCCTGACAAAGTTCTGGTCCCAATAAGCAAAGCCAAATTCCTGATCCTTTTTCATTTTTTCTCTTTCACTGCAGCCTACTTCTTCCTCCAGGTGATCCATGCCAGGCGGGCGTTCGGCATTTCTCCTCCAAAGGTCTCAGGCCCACCTGAGTTTGAGAGGATCTTTCGAGCGCAGTAAGAAACTTCTCTTGCAGGGCATTGTTTTAGACCTTGTGCACAACCTGCCCTGCAATGCCATTTGTTTCTGGCTGGAGCAATTCAGCAGTTACTCGCTGCCCTCAGGGTTACATGAATGAAACAGGGAGTCAGCTCTGGGACCGTGATGGCTCATGAGTCCTAAAGACACCGGCCATTGCTGCTAGAGACCACAGCAGAAATCCCTGCTGTGGAGAGAAGGGCTGTGAAAGACAGGGCTGCTGGTGGCTGGGCCTTGGCTGGGCCTTGGGCTGGGTTTAGGTGCAAGCTCCAGGCAGCCTCAGGACTGCTCTCAGCTCCACTCGCTGCTATGTACAGGCTCCTGGAGAGGCAGCCGGGATCCGGAGGGGATTGCTGGAATCCAGCATCGCTGTGGCGACTTTCGTGCCATGGATGCAGCTGCGGAGGGGTGCGGGGAGGGAGAGTTTCCTCTTTTGCCTTAGCTGAGCAGCACAGAGGGAACAGGGATCACCGGCTCCGCTCCTCTGCCAGCCCAGAGGCCTCGTGCCCGTTGCTCTGGGGCGACAGGGCCCGGCTGCATTGACGGTCCGGCCGGCTCAGGGCTCTGCTTGCAGCCCACGTGCCGTGGCCTTGCCTGTACGAGCGGCACCTTCTCCTGGCTCTGTTCATGGGCTGTGGGGAGGACCTGGATGCTGAGACCCCGTCTCAGGATCTCGGGATGCTCCGAGTACCTCATGACACAACCCTGCCCTCCAGCACCCGGAGCTTTGGGCCCCTGACATCTCTCCAGCACTTCCCCCCACATCTATGGTTGAGCCCTTGTGCCTTGTTGTGTGGGGCTTGAGCTGCAGCACCTGGGGAGCGGCGCTGGGCATGGTCCATGGAGCCACTCGGTGTGCACCGACCTGGGCATTCTGCTGAACTTCCTGCAGTCAGGGACTGGTCCTGGAGACCCAGGTCCTTCCACTGTCCAATTCCTGCAAATAACAATGGGAAGGGAACTGTGGGAAAAGGAGGAAAACTGGAGGCTTTTTAGGGAGGCATCGTCTCTTAAATGCAACAGTTTACAGTCTCCGGAAACTGCTGGAGGCGGGGGCAAGAAAGAAAGATCTTCCTCTTCTCCCTTGTTTACGATTTTCCTCTTTCTTGCCAGGGTGAATTCCTCCGAGTATTTTCCCATTTTCCTGGCTCTTCTGTGGCAGGCTGGCCTCTTCTTCCATCAAGGTGAGAATGGCCCGTTAACCTGATTTGACCCTGGGTCTGTTCCCCTTAGCGCTGGAGCTGCTCACCTTCCAAACAACAAACTAGGCAGAAATTCTGTTCCTGACAGGACTGCGGAGCTGTCCAGCTCCCCTGCTGGCCACCTGCTCAGCTTACAGCAGCTCCAAAAAGCCTTTGTATTTGGTCAGTGAGATTTCTCGTCTCAATTGTAGGTCTGGCTGCAGCCCTGGGTCTGCTCTATCTCTGCTCTCGCTACTGCTACTTTACGGGATATAAAGCATCGTCATCGGAGAGGTAAAGACCTGCTTGAGTGAGCAGCAACCCCGGAGTTTCTAATTTGGGAATGTCATGGGCTTCAGGAAGGGGCTCAGGGCTCCCTTTGCTGCTCTGGCTGCTTCAGAGCCGCTGAATGACCCGGCCGCAGCTCGGCCCGAACACAGCACGGGCCTGGCACACGCCTGGGGCCGGAGAGATGGATACGGAGCGAGAGCGGAGATGCTCCGAGCCCGCGTGGATGCATCGGAGCCTCCGGGCGGGAGCGGGACCCCGTGCAGGGGCAGCCAGGGGCTGCCATTGCCCACGCTGCTCTCCCTGCTCCCTGGGGAGGTCCGTGCCGGCCCCGTGCAGCCGCTCTCAACACCCGCTCTCTCCTCCCAGGCTCGCTCCCATATACTTCAGCACCGGAGTTCTCTGGGTCCTCGTGGCAGCGGCAGCCCTGGGCCTCTCGCATTTCTTCCTCACTCACTACATGGGCCTGAATGTCCTGCAGCTCCTCACAGTGTGACAGGTGCCTCGGTCCTCGCAGGTGTCCTCCGAGTCCTGATCTCGCCGTGACAGGCACCTCGCATTGTCCCTAGTGACAAACGCACCTTGCTGGAGTTTCAAACACCTCCCTCCCTGCTGCTCAGCGCTGGCAGGCAGCACTGGGGTATTTTGGAGGTGCTTCTCCCTCCACGTCTGGGCATTTGTTTGAACGCAGCTGTGGGCTGGGGTGTAACAAGAGAGGCGAGGGATGAACAAGGGTGGCCACAAACATATCGATGTCTGGGCCGCGCGAAGCACCTGCCTGCAAATCAGCAGCGCCAAAGGGAGTTGGTTAATGCCCTTGCGATGGGTCTTAGCTATTGTCCATGGGTGATAATGTAAATCACAGTGAGCAAACCTATAACCACTATTGCATATACTGTTTTGAATATTGCTATGCCACAACATGTACGAGAGCTGCTGCCAATAAAAGGCACAACGCTTGCTGAGCTGTTTTCCTCCGTGTGGGTCTGTGCCTAGCACAGAAAGAAAATTTGACTGCGGGCTCAGAGCGCTGCGCTGCCGCTCAGTTTCCCTGCCGGGCAGCGCGATGCAGGCATCTCCGTCTCCCCTGGGAGAAGAGCCCGGAGCTGGGGCAGCAAGAAGGTGATTTTCTGAGGTGCTGAGCCCTGAGACTCGCGGCTGATTTCCTCTGGAGCAGCAGCACTCTGCACCAAACCCCTGTGGGGGTGCTTGGCCAGGGGCTCAGCCCTCCTCCAGTCTATTTTTGCTCCAGAGAGCGAAAATAACTGCATTAATCTGCTGAGACCTTAACCCTGATCTAAAGCCTGCCTTCCTCTCCTCCCTTCCCTACCATCTTATCTCAGATGGTAGGAACAAAGAGAGACTTTGACGGAAGCAATTAACTTTTTGCATTGTTTCCATTTCCTTTCCCGCATTCTAGCTGGCACAGCAAAGCCCCGGCCTGCTGCCCTCTCCAGCCTTGGCTGGGTAAGTTGGCAAACGTTGCAGGGAAGGTTTCAGTCCAAACAAAAATAACCAGCCCGCTCTCATCTGCCTAAAGTTTCCGGCACAGTGAGGACCCGTCTTTGTAGGATCCCCTGATGCCACAGCCATGTAAACACCACAGCGTTTTCAGCAGCTTTGGTAAAACCTGGGAAAGGCTGGGTAGCGTTAAACTGTGCCTGAGCAATCCGGCTGCACTCCCCGCTACACAAAACACCTTTAAAAACCTCAGGGAGCAGCAGCCAGGCTCTGGCCACCCTGAAAAGTGCTGCTGTTGTGGGGCTTGTGTCTTCCCCACGGCTCCCACTTGCCATCGATCAAAGATGTGGTGCTACGAGGCCATGGATCAAGGATGCAGTAAGAAGTTCCAGGCTTTGCCCAACTGAAAATACTGCAGCTGCATGGTGTGAAGCACTGGTGCTGTATCGACATGCACTGCCCACTTCATAGCTGCTCCAAAAACATCGAGGGGTCACATTTGTGCCGGCAGTGAGGTGGGATATTGCCTGTCTGCTGTACCCCGGGACTCTGCAGGCAGAGGCATCACCAAGCAGCTACGAAAACCTCTCCGTGGGCTCTGGTATGAGAGAGATGCAAGAGCCCATCCAAAAGGGCAGCGCTGCCCTGTCACCCAAACCGGCGCAGGGAGAAGGTCCCTGTGGCCGCTGTGCTGGCTGAAAGGCTTGGTGCCGCCGGCGGGGAGGATGTCTCTGCTTCCCGTCCTCCCACCACCCTTGCCCAAGGATATTGCCCTCGGGCTGCAGGAGCTGGCCACGGGCTGGGGCAGCGGCCCTGCTCTCTCCCGGGTCAGCTCCTGTTTGCTCTGGGACAAAGCAAAGGGCCAGGCAGGGGGAACAGCGGGACGGGCGGGAGAATGAGCGATGTGCTGGAGGCACATGCTCCTCCATGGCAGAGCGGAGAGACCCGCAGCTGCAGTGTCCACCACTAAAGGATGATGAATGAGGTGTGGGGAAAGCCCAGGCCTCGCCTCAACATGCTTGCACACATGCCGGCTGCACCTCTTGAGTTGCAATTAAGGCGATTTCAGCTTGTGGTTTGCAGTTTGCCAGCCCTCCCGCTGCTCTGCTGCAGGTG